GACACAATTGGTTCCGCCTCTGGGCTGGGGGCCGGGGCCGGGCTAGGCCGGCAGGGCCGGGGCGGGCTATTCCGAACCGGGGCTGAGAGGGCAGGAGCCCGCCTGGGACGCCCGCGGAGCTTCGGTGACGAGCCCCGAACTGCGGTGCGAGCGTGGCTGACTTTGCGGGTGTGAAGAAAAGGAGCTGAGCTGAAGGCCCGGGTTAGAAGCGGCTCCTTTTTGTGCCCGGGTTAGAAGCGGGTCCGCGCGATGCCCTCGGCCAGCCTCCAGCCCCGCGCCCTCTGCCGCGGATCCCTCCCGGTGGGATGCGTGCGAAGCAGGCATCTCCTATGTGGAATTCTTGCCGAACAAACGAACGAACAAAAGCTGTATTTGAGTTCAGACACAAGGAAACATAAGACAAATCTAAAAAGTGATACGTCTTATAAGACAAGTGGCCTGAGCTCTTCAAAATTGTAAATGCTGGGGGAAAGGGCAGGGGGACTGTTGTAGATTAAAAGATGTTAAATATAATGTGTGGACCTTGCCTAGATTCTGGGTGAAAAACTGTAAAGCAGCTATAAAAAGACATTCTTGGGACAATTGGGGAAACTTTGACTTTGGATAGGATATTGGATATTATGGAGTAATTGCTAATTTTCCTGGTGTGAGGATGTAGAATGTTTTTATTAGCAGAAGCATGCTGTGGTATTAGGGGTTGTCTTAGTCTGCTCAGGCTAAGGTAACAAAATACCACACATTAGGTGGCTTAAACAACAGAAATTTTCTCAGTTCTGGAGGCTGGAAGTCCAAGATGGGGTGCTTGGTGTGGTTGGGTTCTGAAGGAGCCCTCTTGCTGGCTTGAAGACTGCTGCCTTCTTAGTGCTTTTGGGGGTGGGGGGCGCTCTGGCATTTTTATAAGGTACTGATCCTCTTACCCCATGACGTCATCTGACTTTAATAACCTCCCAAAGTCCCATCTCCATCTCCAAATATCATCACATTGGGAATTAGAGCTTTAACATATAGATTGGGGGGAGAGGGCACAAACATTTGGTCCATAACAGCTGTGAAAGTTCATGATATCTGTATATTACTTTCCAGTAGTTGAAAATAGTATGTATACATTTAAAGAAAGAGCTAAGTAAATGTAGCAATATGGCAACAGTTGTTTAACTTCGGGTAAGGGTATGTGGGTGTGTATCAAAATACTCTTTCAACTTTTCCTATGTTTTTAATAAAAAATTGGGGTGGAAGTGGGTCTTTGGAAATTAGACTGTGTTCAAATCTGAGGTTCATAACTGCTTGAGCTTGGTTAAGTTTCTTAACCTCTCTGAGCCTGTTTGTATATCCTAGAAATGGGGTAATGTGGTTGCTATGAAAATGAAATAAGATAATAGGGGTAGAAAACTTGACACATAGTTTGCTTGCTCACGGCTCTCCTCAAATGTCAGAGCCATTGTAAGTCATTTCTGCTTTTTGGTCCTCTCATCCGCCCTCAGATTCAACCCGCATTTATTGAACACCTGTTGTGAACCAGGGTCTGGGCTAAGGAGGAGCTTCTGTCATCTATGAGCTTGCCAGTCTCATCCACACTTCACAAACGGAGGTTACAAGCCTTGCAAACGTGCCTGGCCTGGTGGCTAAGCTGTTCAATCAGAGGGCTGAGATTTAAAAGCAGTTTTCAATTCCAAGTCCAGTAGACCCTAAGGTAACTTGGTAGAGTGTGGATAGGAATGTCTACATATAAGGTTTCTGTAAGGTTGAAAGATAATATGAAAGCCCTTTGGGAACTAGGGAGGTCCATGCAAATGTGGAAGCCTGCAAGAGCCCTGGCCCAGAAGCAGGCCTCTAACTCCTCTGCCACCAAATTCTACATGATTTAGCTCTCTGGGCTTCATTTACTGCCACACTTGTGCCCATGGAAGTGTGTCCACTTCCAGTTTTTGTGTGAGGTACATGATTCACCTTCCCAGAGTTCTGGTCTCTCTGCTATTCTGTCTGATTCAGTAGCAATCCCCAGGAGCTTCACAAGTAACAGGAATCATGCCTACTTCAAGAGTTAAGGGAGATAACCAGGATAGGCGTTCTCTAGTCAACTGGCCTTTCCTGCTTGGAGGACCTGGGTCCTCCAATCCCAAACTTGGGAGGCCAACTATAAACCTTGCTTGTGCATGCTGCCTGAGGAAAATAGAGTTTGTAGACTTCTGGAGAGGCTGCACTTGATCTGTGCATCAAAAGATGCAGTGGCACCGCCGAGCCCGCTGGTTCAGTTACCTTGGATAATCTCAGTCCAAGAATACATATTAAATGAAAATTCCAGAAATAAACAACTCATGAGTTCTAAATTGTGCGCCATTCTGAGTAGAGTGATGAAATATCGCACCATCCCTTTGGGACATGAATCACCCCTTTGTCCGGCATCTCCACGATGTACACCTGCCTGTTAGTCACTTGGTGGCCGCCTCAGTTACCAGATGGACTGTTGTGGCGTCGCAGTGCATGTGCTCAAGTCACCCTTATTTTACTTAATAATGGCCCCAAAGTGCAAGAGTAGCGATGCTGGCCACAGAGATCTACCACAGAGAAGCCGGAAAGTCCTAGATGAAAATGTGTGTATGTATAGGAAAGAGCGGTATATATGCAAAGTGCCATCAGAGGTTTCAGGCATCCACTGGAGGTCTTGGAATGTATCCCCGTGGATAAGGGAGTGTGGACTACTGTATTATCAACACAGTGAAAAGGCAACCCATGGAATGGGAGAAAATATTTGTAAATCACATATCTGATTAAGGGGTTAATATCCACAATACATAAAGAAGACCTAAAAGTCAAAAATAAAACAACACATTAAAAAACAAAGTTTTTATTGATTTCAGAGACAGTAACGGAGAGGGAGAGAAACATCAGTGATGAGAGTCATTGATCGGCTGCTTCCCACACTCCCCCGCCCCCAATGGGGATCGAGCCCAAAACCCAGGCATGTGTCCCAACCAACCGGGAATTGAACCCCGATCTCCTGGTTCATGGGTCAATACTCAAACACTGAGCCATGCCAGCCAGGCAAAACAATACAATTTTTAAAATGTGTGAAGGACTTGAATAGACATTTCCCCCAAGAAGACATGCAAGTGGACAATAAGCACATGAAAAGGTGCTCGACACCACTAATGATTAGGGTCATTCGAATCAAAACCACAGTGAGATGTCACTCTACATCCATTAGGAGGCTATTATTTTATTTTTTTACTTTTAAAATAATTTTTTATCTTTATTGTTGAAAGTATTACCAATGACCCCTTTTTCCCTCATTGACCCCCTACCTTGTACCCACCCCAACACCCCAGGCCTTCACCACACTATTGTCTGTGTCCATGGGCTATGCATATAAGTTCTTTGGTTAATCTTTTCCCACCCACCCACCTTCCCATCCCCACTGTCCTGATTCTTATGTTAGACAGCACTGCACAGCTCTTCTTCCCCCCATCAGCAGCATTCTCTTAATTTTTGCAATTTAGGATTTAAAAGCAAAATCAGGTTCTGTTCCCAACTCTGNTTTCGCATAATACTCTCCAGGTCCCACCATGCTGTCTCAAAGGGTATGAGATCCTTCTTTACAGCTGCATAGTATTCCATGGTGTAAATGTCCCACAGCTTTTTTTATCCACTCATCTACTGATGAGCTATTTGCAGATCTTAGCTATTGTAAATTGCAGTATTAACATAGGGGTGCATATATTCTTTTTGATTGGTGTTTAACTCCATTCTGTTTTCCATAGTGGCTGCACTAGTCTGCATTCCCACCAGCAGTGTACTAGGATTCCCTTTTCTCCATATAACATATAGAGACTTGTTTTGTGTCCTAACATGTGGTCTATCTTTGAGAATGTCCCATGTGCACTTGAGGAGAATGCATATTCTGCAGCTTTGGGGTAGAATGTTCTGTAAATGTCAATTAAATCCATCTGATCTAGTGTGTCATTTAGGGTCATTGTTTCCTTTTTGACTTTTGTCTGGAAGATCTATCCAGTAAAGTCAGTGGGGTGTTAAAGTCCCCTACTGTGACTGTATTGCTGTCGATCTCTCCCTTAAAGTCCTCCAGAAGCTTTTAAAAAATATATATTTAGGTGCTCCTATATTAGGTGCATATATATTTACCAGGCTTATATCCTCTGTTGGATTGATCCCTTCAGTAGTATGTAGTGACCTTTCTTGTTTCTCGTTATGGTCTTCATTTTGAAGTCTATTTTGTCAGAAATAAGTATTGCTACCTCAGCATTTTTTTGGTTTCCATTTTCATGGAAAAATTTTTTCCATTCCTTCACTCTCATCCTGTGTGAGTCTTTTGTTCTGAGGTGGGTCTCTTGTAGACAGCATATAATTGAAGGGCCATATTTTCTTATCCATTCAGCTACCTCTATGTCTTTTGATTGGATCATTTAATCTATTTACATTAAAGGTTATTATTGATAGGCACTTATCTATTGCCATTTTCATTCTTTTTGCCTATGTTTCTCTCTCTCTATTTCAACTTCTTATAACAGCAGTCTCTTTTACATTTCCTGCAATGCTGGTTTGGTGGTGATAAACTCCTTTAGCCTTTTTTTGGTCCAGGAAGCTCTTTATTTCACCATCTATTTCAAATGATAGCCTTGCTGGATA